AGTCAAGCTAAAATGCACAAAATAAACAGTTTATTAACGTAAATTAATTTTGGCTCTGCTTGTTATTATTTCAGAAGATTTTGTTCTTGTAATCTATCTGTAAACAAAAACATGAATAAAATAAAATCAAACAGTTTTTGCTTGTTTGTTTGTTTACTAAACAAAAACAGACTCACTTCACACAGTTGATATCGGACATGTGACTGTCGAAAGACTGAATGTTCTGCCCAGAGCGCATGTCCCACACGTTGGCCTTCATATCACAGCCCTGATAACACACACACACACACGCACGCACGCACGCACGCACGCACGCACGCACGTACGCACACATCAGTGATAGAAAACAAGAAAGCTGTCTTTTAAATACTAAATACATACTGTAGTTCAAATCCTCTGAAGAGAGGCTCTGTGGAGAGACTATGAGCCAACAATATCTTACCTGCTGTAGATAGTTTTAAAGTTAATCAATATGTCAGAGTTCAGAATAGTTTTTGACAGTGAGCACTAACTGCATGTTTACCCCTGAGACCAAACGTGTTTGAAACACAGAGAAGTCTTCCTGACCCCAGAGACAAACGTGTTCCCGGTCTCAGACGGGGCGAGGTCCAGGGACAGGACATCAGCTGTGTGTCCGTGGAAACTCTGCAGAAGCTGCCCGCTCTCCACGTCCCACAGGGCACACGTGCCGTCACCGCTGGAGGTCAAGAGCTAACACACACACAAACACACAGAGTAACACACCTGTGAGCAAGCAACACACTGAGCACAAAAATATAAAACGTTTCCTGTTAAAGCAAACTGGACGGGGGCAACAGTGAGTATTTATTTTGTGCCTCTGACACGGCCCTGACATCTTAAAACCATAGCATGCAGCAAAAAGTGTAACTGAGCAGTATGTTTGTGGTAAATAAAGGATCTTATGTGGCCAAAAAGGCCTAACAACTGCATATGGTTGACATTTTTTGAAGTTAACTGTTCCCTTTCCTATAAAGCTGCTGGATTCACTTTCGATTCTCAAACTAGAGTTCAGCCTAAAGCAGAGAAATCAAACCAATAACAGATTACAACAGCGTGGCTCGTTTTACAGAGACGGTGTCGCACGCACACCAGCTGTTAGTGTTCTTTTTCCTTTATGTCTTTTTGTAGGTTAATGTGAGATTTTCTTTAGTGGATTTGTATCAAATGTGAAGATAAACCTAATAATCTGTATTAATTCATTCAATCTTTATTTAGACAGGTTAATCCCATTGAGCCTCGAGGACTCATTTACAAGAGAGACCTGTATTCACACAGATCCAAACACAAACACACACACAATGCATTACAATGAAATGTCAACTAATCCTCAGATGAAACCAGATTATGAGACATGCAGACATCGCTGTGTCTCCTTGATCAGAGAGCTCCTGCTGGATGAGCTCAGGCACCAAACGTCCAGTCCAGCCTGCAGTCAGAGCCAAGTTCTGCTCAAACATGAACTCAGCTCTGAGCGAGCCAGTTATAGAACCACACATGTAGGAACCATCTGTCAGAATCAGGATGAACTTGCTCGCTGTCTTCGTGTGTCCAATGATCAGACCCCTCCACAGGATGGAGCAGGATTCACGTGTGAAGCCAGAACTCAAGCGCAGCAGCAAATAAATTAAAATTAATCTAGAGAAATTACATTTCCTGCAAAAATACAGTGTGAATGCTTATTGCTGAAGAACTTGCTGAAAAACTGCTGAAATTAGCTCAAATCATGCTGAAATGTAGCTGAAATGGAAGAACAAGCCTAAGTTAGCAGAAGAAAGCAGAAAGAACACACATTCAGTTCAATTTATTTATATAGCACCAAATCACAACAAAGTTGTCTCAGGGCACTTTACAGGAACATTCACATACACAGAAAAGCCAATTAGTAAAGTTCTCTATCTAAGGAGGCCAGCAGACATGTTGAATCTTGGCTTCGTTGCAGTCTCCCATTTACTGAATCTGGTTTAAATAATCAGAAATTAGCATAAACTTAATAAATTAGCTAAAAAAAAAGCTGAAATTATTTTAAAAAATAGCTGAAAAGTAGCTGAAAAGTCAGAAAGAAACTTAAACTACCAGAAGGAAGTGGAAGGAGCTGAAATAAGCTAAAAAATTGGAATTAGCTGAAAAAGCCAAATTTTGCACAAAACAGCTAAAAAGTAGCTAAAATAGCAGAAAAAGCTGAAACTAGCAGAAAATAGCTGAAAGGAGAATAACAAGCTGAAATTGGCAGAAATAAGTTAATTAGGCTGAAAGTAGCAGAAATGACCAAAAAAAGTTTTTCTAAAAGCAGCTGAAATTAGCTAAAAATTATTTTTAAAAAGTAGTTGAAAAGGTAGAACAAGCTTAAATTAGCTGCATAAAGCAGACATGTTTGTCAAAAAAAAAGCAGAAAGAAGCACTTTTTGTGCTTCTTTC